TTCGGAGCAGAAATTTGTATGAATATTAGTTTTCAGCTGCTCTTATACATCATTAAAGTAAAATCTCAGGAGGATCAATAGTTTTGTAGTTTGAATTTTCGTGACGTCGTGTGAAAACCAGCTATTACCATAATAATCAGTAGTAAAGATATCGGAATGTTTACAGACCGAATTGGACTCCACTCCATCTTATTACCACAATGAACTGTAAATAATAATATCGTCGTGTTATACAGTGGTGTATGCATCTTACCCATTTCTCTCATCAAGTACAATGGCCCTGGGCTCATCAAGTCCATCTTTGATCAACAGTTTCCTTCCAGTTCCATCAAGCCGTCCTACTTCAATCCTATTGGTCCCTGTATCTGTCCAATAAATATTTCTTCCCACGTAGTCAATGGCTAATCCATCTGGCGATTGAACATTGCAGCGAAACAAATTGTTCACTGAGGTGGCATTGAAAAATGCGCTGATGATTCGACCTTGAGCAATGTCTGACCAGTACACTCGATCTTCAACGGGATCATAGTCCAGTGCAACAGGTTGCTGATTGTCAGGATGCTTGAGCAAAGTTAATGGAATGAAAGACTTGGAGTCCAGTGGAATATAATTGGTAGATTTGTTGTCAGCGTCGGTAAAAATAATAAACTTCTCGACTCCTGCAGTTAAGTTGAAGAAAACTGAGTCAAGGGAAATATGCCATACGCAAACTAATATTCACAAAAACTGTACTCAAAAGCGTTGCGTGTCTCATTAATTTTTTATAATTGAGGTATATAAAAAATACACATTACAGTCCTCGTAATATTGATAGAAACCAACAGTAAGTAAGATACAATTCATGGGTAGCCTGACTGAAACGAGAGAGTGGGGACGACAGATTGAACGTGTGTAAAGAACACGATCAGCTGACTGGAACCTTAATAAATTCTAAAGTATTTTGGAGGACACGCTTAACTGATGTAACCAGCTCTATAACTAATTTCTTCAAGCAATTCAAGTAGGACAAGCGCCTTCTATCTGGCTTTCCTTTGTGTTAGAACGCTGTGGTGAAAATTTGGCCTGGTGATTATTTAACAAATAAAGAAGTCCTGACTGTGCTCTCGGTTCTGTTGTAAAGAACCCTGGAAGCCGTAAAGCACAAAAGAAGTGTAGGCAAAAACAATAATAATAGTAATAATAATGATGATAATAATAATAATAATAATAATAATAATAATAATAANCTGACCAGTTGGCTATTTACACAACGCGGCCGAGGAGTTGAACTCGGGGCTACCGAGAACAAATCCAGATAGCAGTAGGGCGGAGGATTTGAACCAGGGACCTCCAGATTTCAAATCCAGCGCCCTAAACCACTTGAGAAATAGTCGAGTGTTTCTCCCTAGTTCTTGAGTCAAATTTTCAAAGATTTCTTCCAGATTTTTTTTCCAGAATTTCAGGAGACTTTTCGGTTGAATGATTTGTATTTCGGATTTCAACCGGTTTCGAACTTTCTGAACACGTTCTCGAGAAATAACCAATTAAAGCATTCGCTCCCGTTTTGAAATTTCCGAAACCTTTTTGCCAAATGGAAAGCGACCCTGTTACAACCATACTTGCGCTGCATGTTGTTTCATAACGCTAGGAGACCAAATTACGTAATTAGTGGCTCGCCATCGACGTTTGGCTAATTATGCTCCGATCGCGATTGCATGTTCCGATATTTTTTGAGTTCAGGAATGTTATTCAGAGAACAAGCCATGTTGGCTAAAATCGTTCGCTCCTATTGTGCCACTTTTGACAACTTACTTGCAGAGACATTCATAGTTTCCATGTGAATCAACATTATCGCCACCGACAGCGAAGATATCCAGTAGCTGGAACTCATGACAGCAGCAAATTATTGTAGTACCTGTTTCTAAAGACAAAACAACATCATCGACTTTCGTAATTTGACAAGAAACGTTTCAAAACCTGTTCGCAGAAAATTAACAAGAAAATCTACATCAATCGTACTAAAACGAGCTACACGAAATAAAGAGGTTTGCAGTTAAACGAACTTCAAGGACTATGTTAATACACTACCACCGCCAATACTTAAAAGGAAGACTTGACCTTCCTTCTAGGAGCTTGCACGCCCTTGGATGGAAAAGTATAAAAGGTCTCCTGACCTATCAAACAGTTATCACGGTGCGTAGGGAAGAAGGAAACCCCAGACTTGGATACGAAAAACACCAGCTCGACATTTTTTGAAATGTAAAGTTGCGCATCTGACCGTGAAACTTCCAATTTCTATATATAGCGGGGATTTTTCCCTTTTAATTTTCGAGCACGCGATGAATGTTAATTCGAAAAGTGGCGTCTATTAACTCTGATGGTGGTTTTCGAATGTTGCGCATGAGGATAAGCTTTTCCCTGGGAGTGTATTTTTTCGTTTGGAAGGACATTGCAACTGATCCGAGCGGGGAACGCTCTGAAAACCTGAGGAATCTAACTCCGCAGGAGAGCACTGCTCGGCTTGCGGAAACGGAAACTCGTCATAGTTCACGCCCAGTGCGACGTATAATGCTGACTCACCTAACAATCAGAACAGAGGCAGAATTCGTCTGATGCCCGTCTTTATACTCGCAAGTAGATTATCCGTCTCAGGCAAATTCGTATCTTAGTTCATCGCTCGAGTCGCACTGAAGCAAACAGTTCGTCTTGAAGTTTAATCCATGTTATGCCTGTCCTTATCATATAGACACAACTGTTTTACTGGCAAATACACCACTCGTAAAATTCAAGATATTGATGATCGACTTCTCTGATATCATGTTTGACCTTTAAACTGTACTTAAATTTATTGATATGTGACCGAAACATCTTCGGATCTTCCTTTAAGATCATCGGCAATCTTCGGTTATCTTCGGAAATATTCAATAATCATCGGACATTTTCGGAAGTATTAGTAAACGTTCGTGTGGCCTTTGGACAATTTTTAGAGAATTTGGGAAATCTGCGGAGAGTCGTCGGAAATCTTCGGAAAATGGTCAAAAACGTTACCAGTGTGTTCATACAATAAACAAAACTAATACATGGTTGCTTGCAGATATGGAATATCTCTTCTTGCTCAACTATGAATCTCTTCACTGCGCTCACTCGTTTCCCGCTTATGTAGAAATATATTTTTTCACAAGAACTGCAGAAATTCTCGCGCGATTATTGACAAGTTTTCATTGTCAATAAACGGACAGACACATGAATTTTCTCCCTTCTCCCTTTTTGCCTTTTTGTTATTGAAAATAATTGACGTCAGTTTTTCATGCGTCTGTCCTGTTATTGGCAATAAATTTCGTCATAACTATCGCCTCTCGGATCTACAGGGTACTTTGACATGACGAAATTCATGATCAATAACAGGACAGATGCATGAAAAACTGACGTCAGTTAATTAGAGCAGGCATGGAGTATGGACTTTGCTGTAAATTGAGCTCATATCATTTCACTCACTCAATCCTTCGTTCCTTCATTTCTTCGTTCTTACCCAGGTTGTTCGCTTCCTGTTAACGTCTTAAGGAAACCACTGACAAGTGCATTAAATTATCGTTGTCGCTTGCGCACCGAAGTCGACAAATTGAAGTTGTTAAGGTGGTGGAGATACGATGAGTTCACCAAGCGATTTCTTTTACTTTTTTCCCTAAATCTCTGTCTGGCTAACCTGAACAGCGGGTGTCTGTACACAGGTTCTAACAAGCTGAATAATCGATCGACCACACGAGGGCACAGACTACAACTTTGCTTATAGCACGTTTTACAGGCAAAAAAAATCGATGCAAAGACTACGTGTGCGGCTTTCGATTTCGTCACGCTTAGTATGCCACCTTAATACGTTAAACTATTTTACTTCATTCTGCTCGGACTACACGCTTCACGGTCTCCGAGGACATAGTTTTGCCTTGGATAGCTTCACAGTCTAAAAATATGGTAAACTTTTCGATCGACACTCTAGTTTTTAAGACCCCTTAATACAATCAATAAACCAAGTCCTCTTCTTATCATTTTACCTGCGATTCGTATTCACTTTCTTATTTGAAGTTTGTAAAACTTAAAGGGTCCGCATGAGAAAAGCTATTGTTCTTCTCAAGTTATCTTTTAGCCACTTGCATGCAAAATGAGAGGAGTCGATTCGTACCAAAGATGATTATGATGTAAACAAACGCCTTGCTTTCTTTTCAAATCCATTCAATTTATTAACAATAGAACTTTAAACAAGTGAACCTGGGTCAAGCTGAAGTTATAAATTGAATCTCTAACACCCTTCCATTAGTTCTAAAACCTGCACCTCGCGTCGCTGAAAGTCTTGAACAATTGCTACACATTCCGCACAATCTCTTAGCAATGAGGTACTTTCGATAGACTCTCAAAAAACGTCAGGTTGACTTCGATTCCCAAGTGATCTGAGGATGGAACCCGAACTCATTCGAACCTCGTTTGGAAGACGGTCAGGAGTCGTCGTCTGGACTTTGCGGAGATAAACCCGTATGTACGGTTAGTAAGAAAGTCCTTTATTTAAACACGATGACATTAAAAGCATTACATGCTTGAGGGCTCATGTGTAACTACCCAACACCTAATTAACCTACAAGTAAAGTGGATAAGATACGCATAATCAGTCAAGAGCTGTTTATAATATAGCCCTAATACTCATCGACTAAAACTAACTCTTCTCTTGACGGTTCACATCAAAATTTACGGTACTTTAACAATTAGATTATTCGCTCTCGATTTCTATGAGGTGATAGTTGATGAGGCCGAAGGCCGAATCAGCTATCACCTCATAGAAATCGAGAGCAAATAAAACAAATTAAACTCAAAAATAATCTTAAATTCTCTTTAGCCAACCATTTCTAATTATTTTAGTACATTGTATTTAACTTTACGCTTTAGAAAAATCGCGCGGACTAAATTGTTGTCTGGAATTTCTTGTTGTGTACGCGCGCTCATCAGTTTTTTCAACATTTTCTAGTTTTTTAAAGTCCTAAAACCGTAAATGTCATTCTTTCAGTCTTCTCATGAATTAAATTATTCATTTTTACCTAAATTTTCTTCCACAACTTCGCAAAAATGAGAAAACGTCACAATTTCGCAGACGACCTACGGCCACCGCGCACTAATAAGCAATTAGATTATGAGCTCGAGATTCCTATCGCGCGATAGAATCACTATCACGCATAGAAATCGAGAGTGAATAATCTAATCGTTTTAATATAAATCTACTAGTCGTTCAAAACTTTACCTAAATCCTCTTCACAGACATTTCGAAAAGGCCAAGAAGCGGCCGTTGTTTTGTTAACAATGGCACACTGCTAGGCTACTCACTATCTATCACAGAATAGATAGTGAGTAGCTTAGCAAGTCAGAGAACGCCATTCGTGATAGAACGCTAGTAGATTTATATACTAATGGCTGATAGTATACGAGTAGCTCAGCCAATCAGTTGCAGCATTAGGATTAGTATCGACCAGTCGACAACTGACGGTTAACTATAAACACATGCTTCGAATCCAGCACAATCGGACGAAATGTCAGCTTTCCCCTGCTTAACAGCTTATTCTGAATTTTTCTGTTAAAAGATTGTAAAAAATCCTTTCATTTGCTACATATTTCTACCGGTAGTCTTTTAGTTATGACATCGGTAGGCATTTGTAGTTCATTGCCCTCTTTATCAAGTTAACGATTGTTGATTTTTCATAATGAAACTGGATGAAATTAAAGCATTTCCTGCAAATATCATGCAGCCATGTCTTAGTTTAAAGGTCTTGAAACCAGCTTGTACTGCTCTCTGGATTTCAAAAAGCCTGCTTTACCAAGGAGTCTGAATTCTACCCTAGCCGGTGACGTCACCAGAAGATCACTCTCTGGGACACGCCCTAGGTTTCGCACTTCTCTGTCTAGCACCCAAACAAAAGAGAATGCAATTTCTATACTGATAACAATCAGACGATTGCAGCTGCACTTAGTTAGCGACTGAAATTTCCTTGGCTGCTAAAATAAAACAGAAACCTTCCGAAATTATGAGACATGCTCAACGTCCATTAGTTCTTTGTTCTATATTAGCTTAAAGGAGCTACGTCACAGTTTGCACATCTTGAATTGTTTTGCCTAAATTTCTCTTGCTCTTGCTTTTCTTCTCTGTAATCCGTGTTAATCTTCTCCATCCTTAACCATCCTTGGTCTCCTATGATTTGTTATCATCTCTTTGGTGTTTTGTAATCTTAGTAAACTATTATTTTCAGGTTTCCTTCACGGAAAAGGTAATTTTGTATGTGGCCAAAAAAACTCAAAATACCGCACGGTGACTGAGCTCCTTTAAGATTCACTCTGATGTGGCATACTCCGCAAAGCTTCCAGCGCTTCTGAGCATCCCACTTTCTGCAGAGCCCGACACAATTTTTTTATCGTTGCTCCCTGAGGGCCAAACTTTTCTTTCCATTTTAGAAGCCCTTGGTGGCACTTTTCAGCAACTTCACTGTGCTTGTTATCTTCTTCCAAATTTCTAATGACCACCTCAGCCATGTACAGGTTCCGCAGAACCTTCTTCCAGTTGACTCCAACAAGTTCATGAATGCAAAGGACATGCTCCTCTGTGACAGGACCATCAAGGCCACCTGATAACGATAATTTTGTAATAAGTTATGTTTACGATTCAAGAGAAAACCACTCTTTACAATGAAAGTGATTCTATGTATTTTAAATAAGTAAAGATGACCCTTTGCTGAGAAAAATCTTGTTGAGATCTCCCCTGAGATGTGGCTAAGTTCATTGTTAAGCGTTTTCTCGATTGCGCTGACTTCGCCCTTTTCTGAACGGACTTTGTTAGTCGTTTGGGAGCGGCGTGAGGGCTTTGGAAGGTTTCACCTCGTAACTCTTAGAATAATGAAACTATGACAATGAACCTTGGATAATGTATAACAGTAAAAAAATTAATAAAATTTGACGTCTTTGAGAGGATAGATGGCCTGTTAGGTTTGACCGAGTGCAATATGATGTCAAAGTTTTAAAAAAATGTAAACGCTCAGAATTAAAATACTTTAAGGGATATTTTGTTTAGATTTTGTTTAGAAGTCTCAAGACTGAAGAAGACATATCAATTCTTCAAACACTGAAAATGTGTTCGGAAGATGGGACAAATTCCTATAAAACAAGTCGTAACTTAAACTATAGCTTAAATAATTTATGTTTCAATGCTTGTTAAAAAAACGAGACGATTCGGTTAGTGAGCACTCAGTCACATTAGAAAATAACTTAACAATGAAGTTGATTTTAATTCTCGTTTAGTTGCCATTCCATTTACGCATTGTAATATTGTTAGTGTGATTTCCAAACCCTTATAACACAACTGGAAATGCCTCAACTCCGTGGTTGTGGCTCTCTTGCTCCTCACCTCCCTCACACGTCGCTGCTGAGGTTGAACTTCCAGCAGACGCACCAGTGTCACTAGAGACTTCGTCGATTTGGCCGTAATCTGCGATATTTTCGCGGCCGATGTCATGCTAGTAGAAACAATTCGAGAATATAAGTCAGTCCAAATGTATAAATATATATATGACTAAATTTATAAAAACCATGTTAAAACTTTGCACCAAAACAGCCATATGCACTTTGATTTCACAACTCTAAAAGGCTTTAAAGTCGCTCCAAACGATAAAAAAAAAATAGAGAGAAAGGAGAGCAAGAAAAAGAAGATAAGAGAGTGGAGGAAAAAAAGGCTGACATGTCTTTTAACTTTTATATCGTGTACGCTTGATTTCTTTAACACTGTTGTGTCATTAATCCAGACATACATCTCAACGGAATGTGGCTGGATGACCCGGAAAAGCCCAAAAATGAGCGTGTCGAATTACTGTCAATCTTTCTAAAGCGACTGCAGTCAAACTGGTGCATTTCCTGATCATTTCGAACATTCTCTGCCAATAATTATTTCAACGGAGCAAGACTGGATGACCCGGAAAGGCTGAAAATTGAGCGTGTCGAAGTTCTGTCGATACACAGTTGAGGAGAGGGGGGTCATGTCGTATATTTGTGCGAGGGTAACAGCGTTTTCATATTTGCCGCACCAGAATTTGGAATAAGCCAAATAAAAGCCTTGTCTACCACGCTCATTTCCTGCTGTGTTGTCATGTCGATGGACTACACATTGCTGACCCGATAACTTGTTGGCCAAATTTGGGTGCGATCAAAACCCAATTGCACCATTTTGGTTCGCTTCGGTGTCACATGGGGATCACTTGGTCATGTGGTATACGTATTTTGGCTTAACCGCGTCTTTCGAGACTATGAACTATGGGGAGACCAAACGAGCCTGATGTACTGCTGAAGCATATCAAAAGGTACCACAATGCTACTCAGGGATATAATGACGATTGTAAAACCAACATTAACCAGCTCTAGTTCCTCAGTTCCTGCTACACTGTTTGGATTGCCATCTCTATCAACATATCCTTGATTTTCTACTCCCACATTTTCCTCCCGTGTGTAGCGTCGACATCTCCCCCTGCAAAAAGTAAAAAAAGCAAATGAATTGATCTCTATAGAGTAAAGAAATGCCCCATTTTTCAAAACAAAATTACATTTGAGACAAAAAGACTTAGTACCCTTGGTTATATTGGTTTTGAAAACTATCATTGGCCTGCTGCACGTCGTTTTGATTGCCCTCTCTTTCTTCATCTCCTGGATTAATTCCTCTCACATTTTCCCTTCCCATAAAGCGTCGCCATGTCCTTATGCTGCAAAAAATAAAGCAAATGCAATGATCGTTCTTAAATCAGGAAATGCTCCGTTGTTTTAGAAAAAAAAAAATACTTTTCAGACCGAACGACCTAGGACCCAGGGAGAGAAACAAAAAGAAAGAAAGTCCTTCTTTCTAAATCAAAACATTATTGTCACTGTAATAATACTGAAGAGGACTTACAGAAAGTGACGTTTCAATGTACAAAGGAGGGCGACCAAAATCGATGTAGACACTGCAAAAGACAATCCCACGGCAATGGCGAGAGAAGACGTATGCTCCAAAATTACTGCTTTTGCCGTGCTGGAAGTTTCTGCGATGAAACAACAAAATATGGTTTTCTGTGATAGTGTTTCCCACTTTCTGCGAGCATTTACTTATTTTAAAAGGCCTTAAGTAAATAATTTCAAGACAAATAAATAATAACACTAAAGGTATGAGAGGGTCTTCTGAGACGGGAGAGGAGGGGGTAAGGGGGGGGGGGGGCTCGGAAGTGGAAGCCCTTTAAACTAAGCACCAAGATTACAAAATTCCAGAGGAGGCTGTCGGCAATGTGAGATTAGATGTATATGTCTTCGGAATCACGTGATTATAACGAACAGGAATTGATTAATTGGCCATGTTGGATTTAGTGATCTATACTTATGACCGTCGAAAAACTAAGAATCACAAGGATTGACCAAAACACAGCAAACACGAGCCAAAGTGATCCTAAAATAAACCAAACCAGAAAAGATTATTGCAAAAGCAATTACAAATTTTCTCTTGAACTGTGGTAAACTCAGAAAATTTGGTGACTTGAGCGGAAACAAAGTTTCGATCAACATGTTACGTATTTTGTATATAACCTATCAGACAAATATTGACAATTTTTAAAAAATCCTCAGATGTACAATCTTACTCATACCCCCACAATGGTACAGTTCAAGAAATCACGGAAATAAATACAAAATCAAGCCAGAGTGCTTATGGAATTTAAACGTTCACGAATTTCTGCAGCTTGATGTAGAAAACTGGAAAAAATAGAGAATTATGTCAAAAATGTTGAGTTTTGGCCAGACTTACTTGAACTTTTTCGGTTGCCATGCCAACGTCAAAAGTCACTGACACGCAATTGACATACTAAAATATCCGCGGAGGATGAATGAGTAAAATGAGTCGTCTTTTCAAAACTTTGAAAAAACTTATAGGGGCGGTGGCATCCACCTCCTAGGCCTTCCCTTTTGTACGTCCGAAAGTTAAATGTACGTCGAGTACCTATACAGCGGATGGGATTTCCACTCCATTGCCCAGTCTCTAAACAAGTCCTAGTGACATTCCCGTCGGCTTTAACAAATCCACTTTGACATCCGAATACGCAGTTTGATCCATACGTATTACCACAGTAACCATTCAGCAGAAGGGCTCTTGAAGGGATGTTCAAAGGCCTGCAGGTGACAGCTTAAAACGTAATGAAGAAAACTGTCATTTTAAAAAGAGTTGTAAATGTTAATGCTGTCTAGTGTTAACGTCTATGGGTATGAACCATTAATTTAACCTCGGCAGGGGTAATTTGCCGAACGCCAAACTGTTTGCTTGCAGTTTCACTCATGTTAGAAAGGACGGCATTATATTATATTTAGCTTTTTTGAACGATTAAAAGCTAACCACAAGCAAATACGAGTGAAACTAACTGCGCGGAAAGCAGGTCAGTCGACGTCCGATGTTCTGCAGTCGGCGTTTTACAAATTTATTTCACCTTGGCAAAGGAGATCTTGGCCACTCCAAGTTCTGTTTTCGAGACATCTTCTTAACGGTGAACCAACTGGGTTAAACCCAGCAGTGCAGGAAAACCGACAGACTGTATTGTACTCTGTTGCTGTTCTTGTGCAACCCTGATGAATGCCATTGAGTGGGATTAATAAAGCTGGACACGTAACAGCTGAAAGACGGAAAATATTGCATTTCGTTTATAAGGGAGGTCAAGTACACGTTGAAAGTAATTGCACCCAAGATTTCTACTAATTCACTTGCCAAGCTGTTATCGCACAGTTTGCTATCGGGCAGTTTGTTATCGGACAGTTCAATAAACCAATCACATTTAAAGTTTTAGTTTAAATCAACCAGTCTCAATTTCAGAGTAACATCAAACAATTGACGTCTCCTTTGTCAGCCTTTTAATGCAAATTTTTCTTTTCTTTCATAACATTGCTATTCTTCTATTCTCGGAAATTGTAATTTTTATGAATAATTAACAATTAGACCCGAAACCCGCAAGGGCTACTGGTCAATAGCCCATTCGGCTTCGCCTCATGGGCTATTGACCCGTGGCCTTTGAGGGCGAAGGGTCTAATTGTTTTAGTATCACCCAACTAGTCGGACAGAAAAGGCAATAATAAAGTTAGCAAATACACGTTGAAGAAATATTTATTTGGGAATAAAACGAAAGAAAGGGCACGCTCGATTGCGCCAATTTCGCTACTCGAGGACTATTACCAATAGTCCTCTAGTAGCGTAGCTAATTAAAATGTAGGATTTGCATTAGTCCACTAGTTGGGTGATACTAATTGATAATAAGACCTCGTGTCGTCCAATTCGGTCTGTAATCATGCTCGTGATAAACAAATCGGACTTCCGCTGCGCGGTCGTCGGATTTGGTTATCACTCTTATCATTACAGACCGAATTGGACTCCACTCAGTCTTATTACCATTACTCATTCGCGTGTTTTTGCCGTGTGCTTCGTCACAATCACAAGTTCCGTTTATCAATCGTTGTTATTACGCTTCAAACAAGAGTTGGTTTAGCACCTCACCATTACACTGAGGCCGTGATCCAGTCCATACTCCATTGCTATCACATCTGCGAGTTGCTGACCCAGTCAGGATGTGCCCGCTGTCACAGGAAAAGTGACAGGAGTGTCCTGGTAAATTATAACACGGCGCTATGCTTCCTTGGGCAGGGGCGGTCAATTGAGGACAGCGATTTACTGTGAAAACAAAAATAGATTACTGAAGGTGATGCGTTGCTTTTGGGGTTCATCAAAAAGCCGTTTTATATGTATACACGGTCGCTGTGTATACAGTCCTTTGTGTTCTTTCCCCGCCCTTTTGCTAACTGGTCCTTTGCTAAATGAAAGCCAAGACGCGAGCAGTTTTATAACGAAGCGGGTATTTGATTATGTGGCTAGCTCCATGAGCGGGCAAGATGAACTGAATCATGTGCTTTGATTGGCTACCCGAGCTGGAAAGATGGCGCTACACTGTCCGCTCGGGATTTCCTCCCGTCAGAAGATTCTCCACGAATCCCATATTATGAATATTCTGTTGACCAAGCTTGCTCGGTCAAGATGGCCGGATATTGGCGTCGCTCCTTTTTTGCGTTTTTATGGACCGAGCCATCTGGATCAATAGCCCGTCTATACACTGTATTACATCTTCACCTGCTACACTTCACTTTCGCGACAAAGTATTTTTAAGTTATCACTGACACCGCGCGCGCGTTCGCGCTCTCTTAAGGAAAAACAATATCATCAATATTCGACTAAAAGCTGAGAAACCCCCAATTTAGGTGTGCATTTTTATTTTGTTCTGTGGAATCTAAATTATCAATGTTTTACAAAAAGAAAAGAGAATTACCATGCTTACTATGATAAAATGTCAGCAAGCTAAATCCCTTCCTTCTCCATTTACAGAAATTATATTTATACTTTACCAAAAGAATTGTTAAATTAGTTATTTCTGTTTTCCTTGGAAATAAGATCTTGGATCAACGTGATCTTATTCCTTTTGAAACTGTCACCGTAATGCCATATATAATTACCTCCTTGGCATGTAAAAGCATCACCAGGCTTCAGTTGTACTCCCTCTGGGCAAAAACACTGATGACCGTAAGGATTTGGAAGACAAAGATGGCTGCAATCCCCATTCAACTGCGAACAACTGGTAGATCCTATAAGGCGAGGAAGAGTACGTTATCCTGTTACCTAACATCATATGTTTATGTAATTAATGATCAAATAACTCTGCATTACCAACCAGCAGCATGTCATGCTGGAGGTTCTTTTTGTCGAGTTATGATTGGGGAGAACCATTTCGTGGGAAGACAATTCCGAAAGATCGATCTGCAGCGTTCGATCCACCTTAAAGTACCGTTCTCGGCATACGAAGCTTTCAAGGCCAAGTGCAGCAATTTCCATTTTCTTTGCCACATTCAGCCAGCCTACAGTTTCTATATAGGATTTTCTCCTGCACCCTGCAAACAGAGCCTTTTCTTAAGATGCATATGCTTTGTTCCGTCTCCTATCCGCTCAAAAAAGAGATAAAAGAGGCTCTGCTCTCAGGGTGTTTTCCTGCCTCTTTCCCATTTACAAGACAGGTTGAGATTAATTACTGGTCATGTTGACTAAGCCTGACGTCCTATTAATAAATGACAGTGAAGTTTTGGCATTTCTTAGTTACGTTGGTTAAGAGAACATTTCGAAATACATTTAATATTTAATGTATTTCGATATTCATTACGTTGGTGAAGACTTAAGTAAAGCGTTTGGACTAAACCAAGTTAAATCAATAGATAAAAAAATATATATAATGCTAACCTGCAAAGTCTTTGGATTGATCATGAACATGCAATTCCATTGGTTGTCCCATTCCGTGAACAACGACTTCATCTACAGAAGTTGTCACGTTGTACTTATGAATACTTTTACTTTTCCAATCAGACCAGTAAACAACGTCATCAAATAGTGCGAGTCCAAATGGATGCATAGAATCCGATGATAGATCCAGTATCACCACGCGATTATTTCCTTGTAGGTCCACCCTCTCAATCTTTTTAAGGTACCCATCGCACCAGTACAGTAGTCTATTTTGATAATCCATAGCGAGCGAGTTCACCCACGTAAGTCTGGAACTAACAAGAGTTGACCTGGCCGAACCGTCCATGTTGGCTTGTTCGATTTTTCGCGATATTCCTCTGCCACCCCAATACATCTTACTAATAAAAAGGATAGTGTTGAAAATCAATATAAAGAGAATACAGTACTAGACGTATGGGGATGAGATACAAACTGTGGGATAAGTGGCAAGAAAAATGTCTCACTATGATAGCTTTTCCTCTGGAAAAGCGGGAATGTCCATGCATTTTCAAGAGCGAAGATCATCTTTAACAGATTGACCTATTCCAAAGATTTGGATTATCAAATATTTCCCAAAGGTGACCTAATACCTCTACAACGTCCACAGCGATTGATAAAAGTAATAGAAGAGTGACGAAACTCCAAAATATTATTTTGGTTTGTATCGATATCCGATAGTACGCTAGCAGAGTGCCGTAAAACTGGATCTGCTTTGGAATTTTAGATTACCTTTCTCTAATATTGAGTAGTATGGCTCTTGGTTTTTCAATGTCTCTTGTGATTAGGCTCCTTCTAGATGACCCATCTAATCTTGCTACCTCAATTCTATTATTTGCTTCATCTGTCCAGTAGATATTACGTCCAATATAATCCACTGCCAGTCCTTCCGGGGTAATAACATTACTGTGCGCAATAACTTCAACTGAAGACCCGTTAGGAAATGCTCTGGCCACTAATTTTAAGGTCACATCTGTCCAATATATTTTTCCTTCGACTGGATCGTAATCAACGGCCACGGGTCTTGAGATGTTCTTGTTGATTCCCAGAGGATAGCAAGGGGTCTCGGGCACTTCCAGAGGAACCTTATAAATTTCTCCAGTGTCTCCTTCAGCAAAGAGTAAGAATTTATCTGAACTTGTCTTGTAGAACATACCTTGAACATAAGAGATAAACCTATGAGAACCGAACAGACCTACATATACAACAAAATTATAGAACGACCTCACTGCTATTGAACTGCCATTATAACGAATGTCAACACCTTCAGAGGCGGATCCAGAAGGAGGGTTGAGGGGTTACAGACCACTCCCCCCTTTTTTTGAACATTTTTTGTATTATTTCTTCGGCTCTTCATAAACATAATAGAATAAAATTGTTTTCTGGCACGTTGTTGTAATGTACATTTCGAGCCCGCATTATTATTTTTGGTTTTCTGGTTGAGAAATAAGGTAAACTCCAGACTTTATATCATGTCTTCACAAAAGCTTTCAAGTGTAAGGAATGCTGGAAATGGCGTTTTAAAGGGTAAACTGACCATGGACCCCACCTAGAGTCAATTGCGATCCAGCCGATTGGCGTCGAAAGCTATTAAAGTGCACGAAGGGTAAAGCTAAGTACATCAGCTTTTGAAACTTCTTGAAGATCCAATCCACATTCCTTCAGTTTTGGTGGGATTAACCTCTGAACCTGAGAGTTTTTTAAAAATCGAATATTAAAACGAAACCTTTTGGTATTAAATGGCCAAATGAACCAATTAAAGCCCTGGGGGATTTATTGCTCTTATGATCAGAAATTACTACACGAAAAAAACTTCATAGAAAACCTGGACAGTGTTAAGAAACTTATAAATATTTGGTCTGCAAGAGGTCTCTCTCTCTACGGAAAGGGAACAATAATAAAATCCCTGATTGTTCCAAAATTTGTCTATGTATCGTCATTATTAACTACCCCCGAAGGGAGTAACCSAAGAACTGAACCGATTGATTTTTAAATTTCTATGGAAAGGCGTAGACAAAGTCAGACGTTTGTCAGCAATAAATGATTTTGAAAAGAGTGGACTGAAAATGATTGATTTAGAAACAAAGGCTAAAACCGAACAACTACACCTGGCTAAAGAGAATTTTCAGCGAAAATGACAGCACATGGAAAAATTCCTTACATCACGTACTCAAAATTTTGGCGGCCCTTTCTTATTTCATTGCAATTATAATATAAAGAATCTCACAATCTCTTCTCAATTTTATACCGACCTCCTTCAGAGGTGGGCGGATTTTCGAGACAAGTTTTTCTGCGGAGAAACCGTGGCACAATATGATAGGAATAACAAAGACATTCGTATAGACTGAATAAACCAATATTCTATAAGACATTTTTCGAGTCTGGTATTACGCATGTAACTGACCTTCGATTTGATTGAAATATTACAGAGTCCTATAATATTATTACAAAAAAGATGAAAAAAACAAATATTTTGGCATGTGCAGGTCTCAGATATGCCGTACTGTCCCACTTAATCTCAAAATCCAAAATAAATAATCACACCTTTTTACAATGCCACCCTCTCTGATTATTGAAAACAGTGTTTTTGATATTCTCATGAAAAAATCAAAAGACTATTATACAATGTTAATAACTAAAAAAGCACAATTTTCTAATAATTCTTTAGTTCTGAAACGCGATTTTAACTTAAATGAGGATCAATTAACAAAAGTGTTTCTTCTGCTGCATATTGTGTGTTCTGAGGCTCATGTTAAGGCCCCCCAATATAAGGTCCTTAACTTTATTCTATATACCAATACCAAATTACATAAGATAGGATACATTACAGACGATAAATGCTCTTTTTGTAAGTCTGAACCAGAAACACTATTGCCCCTTCTTTTTAACTGCGTATACTCAAAGCTTTTCTGGAAAGATTTTGAATTTTACTTTTACTCTCTATCAAAAGAATTAATTTTATTCATCTTAGTTTGCGAGATGTAGTAATAGGCATTATAACCTCAGAATGCCCCTTACTAAATTATTTCTTGTTCATAGCCAAACTATATCTATGGGATTGCAGAAGATCTCAAATACTTCCAAGCTTAGCTGGGTTTAAGATAAAGATCAAAATTAAATTTGAAATGGAAAAATATATTATATGCACTAAGAACAAACTTTAGATCAATTTATTAAAAAATGGGGGACAAGTTGCCCTGTGTAAAATAACTGTATTCTAACTATTTATTGTATTGCTTCCTTTGTAACTTTCTATTGCCTTTGTGATTGTATTTTAACATAAATGTATTGTACAGTATGTTTAAGCTAGTATTGTAAGTTATGTAATGATATTGTAAGTAATGTGTTATACGGCTTAATTAGTACGTTGTGTTTGTAAGTAATGTTGTAGTATTTGTGGTTGTCGTAGTATTGTAAGTAGTGTGAGTGCTCCAATAAAATTTTAAAAAAAAGCTTTTGAAACTTGCTCAACTCGTTATTGTTTATAAGCATGCAGTTATTGTGTCAACCGTGTTTTGTTTAGCATGCTTTTAATTTTTTTACTTTTCTTAAAAAATACTTTTTCTGCACTAACTCTTTTTGTTTAAACATATTTAACCTCAGTAATATTTGATACGGTTTAGAGTTAAGCTGAAGAAATACAGCACTTAAATCACGATCATGTGGCGGCCATTCAGAAAATCAAATTATGATGTAATCCAAGTCATATAAGATGAGCCAAGTCACATCACAAGGGGGAGGGGAGATAAAGACCAAAGTAGCCTGCTATGAAAGAAAGAAAGAACCTAAAGCTCTTCCTCCTTAACTTCCCATTATTTCCCAGTTCTTAATAATACCTTCTCACAAGAATCAAACAACTAGGGACCAGTTAGCTCGATAGGTACATACAGTAGTTAACAAGAATGACGCAACCAAACACATGGATCCCTCACCATGGTCACATGTTCTCCCATCAGATTGAAGGGCAATGCCCGATGGACATGCGCACTGGTACCCTCCTGGCTTTAACAGACAGAAATCGCTACAGAGTCCATTGTTTTGAGAACAATTATGAGAACCTGATAATAGACAAACAGAAATGAATTACCATACCTAACTGATTCAGAAAAGAAAATAACGATTTAACACTTGATACAGTATTACAGATTTTCATTTCTCTCGTTATTATTTTTAATTTTATTTAAGTTCTTGATGCATTATGATTTTAACTATAATTATTAACAGTTACTTATTATGCAATAAGTATAAAAACAAAGACTGGCAAATGAAACACCGACAAATGATGAGTGGACACTTTACTATAACAAAGTTCATGGTAATTCTATTACTGAGTTTATTTTTCACAGTTATTATCGGGAAGCAACACCACCGTATGTTATGATAAAACTTATAATAAGCCAAGTATTATTGGCCAAGTATTATTGTACGTGTACCTGAAAATATTAAGGCTTGATCAAATACGTGAATGTCCATCGGTTTTTGAAGGCTATTAACTATGATCTCCTGGTTTCCACTGCTTAAGTTAAAACGTGAAATGCTCGTGGTACTCCAATCAGTCCAGTATAACATGTTCCGATACACTGCCAGTCCATAAGGATGGATATTAACCGCAGATGACATTATTAACTGTCTGTTTCTTCCATTGAGGTCTGATACCTCGATTTTGTCAAGTTTAGCATCGACCCAAAACAGGCGATTTGTGAGTTGGTCGATAGTGAGTCCATTTGGCCAGACAAGGTTTCCAGTTACAATGGTTCGTCTCGCTGAACCATCCATCTCAGCTTGTTCGATCTTCGGATTAGTGCCCCAGTCTGTCCAGTACATCATACTGAAAGCAACAACAAACACTTACTGAAAACGTTTCACATTATTCTCATAATTACGGACGAACAGACGATCCAAAAATTGTTGGCAACTGTTCGAATTGTCTCGTTATGTCAAGCAACCGTTTAATTAACTGGGAATGCGCATTAACTCAAAGCTGGCAATTTGAATGCTATTTGTATGCAGACGACTAACATCAATTTCTCCCTTAGATGTAAAACTCAGATGCAAAGGTCTGCAACATTGCTTACAGTGTCGCTGATTTCCATAACCAACATTACAAAATGACCAGTTATTAATATCATCACAACAACTACAATTTCCTCAAATATGCGGTGGTTGGTACATAAACTGCCTTATTTTGCACCAATTAAATAATCTGCAAAGTTGTAATCAGACAGTGTAATCGGACAGTTGACTGTAATCGGACACCTGTAGTCGGACAGTTACCTGAGGCAATCATTTAACCCTCGGATGTACAGGGGGTAGGTATACCATGTACTCTAAGAGGCTGAAACTTTCAGTAGCTGTTCATCCATTCTCCCCGAAAACTGATATCCAATTGTGTGTTAATGGTTTTTGACGTTGCCATGGCAACCACAAATTTCAAATAGGTCTGGCCAAAAATCAACTTTTTTGACACAATTCTCTATATTTTCCAGTTTTCTGCATTAAATTGCAGAAATTCATTAATATTTACATTCCATAAACATTCTGGCTTGATTTTGTATTAGCTACTTGATTTTGTATAAATTTCTTGACTTTTGAAGAAAATAGTGAAATTCAGGATGAGGGATTCAAGATGGTGGGTCAAATGACGTCCTAACCACCAAAAATTATGTCACCTTGTAGAGCAACCTCAGGGCTATCTAGCCAATGTAGGTTTATTTCGCTGTGTCCAAACAGAACGAAAAACCATGGCAGGAGTTCCATCCACACCCCCTACCCTTGCACCATGGTTGGGGTATGAGTTAGCTTATACGTCCGAGGGTTTAAGGTAATTCCCTTGAAACTGTTCTACTATCAAACTTTTTTTGAAACTTGGAATAATTAACATTCATGATATGAACATTAAAAAAATGCAATAAAAAATAGGGTCACTGTGCTTGTTTATGCGTCAGCGGGCTCTTAAAATGTGGTATTTTTACTGGTTGCACGTTAAAAATTCGAATCACTTCATACAGAATTAAGTCTTGGTTACTTGAAAGACAAAATTTTATCCTGAAAGTAAAGCTTCTTTTATTCACATAAGCAGCTAGTATTGCTTCATTTAAGCCGTTTCTGATTGCCTGGTTGTGGGAATATTATACTTTTTCGGACAGTTCCGTGGTTAGCTTGAAATCCTCGCCTTGGCCAAAATACACCCAGTACGGAACTATTTTTCAAAAAGACAAAAATCATGTTCTACTATCAAACTTTTTTTCTGCTTCAAATATGTTCTTTATCTGACTGTTCTTAGCAACTACCTGAAAAAAAACATCGGGGGTCACCGTGCTCGTTTAAGAGAAAAGGAGCATTTATTTCGCTATCGAGCTTAGTTTGAGGGAAATTTCTTACGTTTTGTGCGCGCGCGCCCTAATGACGCGAAAACCATGCGCAGTAGGGATGCGCAATGCAATAATAAGGACTTCCCTTAAGTCTAAATTTACCAATCACAGCATTGATTATAATCATTATAGTTACCAGTTCAAATGAATGATTTTGTTTAAAAGTTGTCGAGGTTTATCTCCGGTGGCTGTTTTCAAAGAAACTCAACAGCCATTTTTCAAGCAATTTTCCTTTGTTTGTTTTTTTTTTTCGGTTTGTAATTACCACGTTTATTAATGACCGTTAAAACGGGTATTTGTCAAATGAAACTTCTACTCTTTTGAGAAAATGGTAATGATTATAATTAATTGGAATCCAAGGACGCTTCACAGTCGTGCGATTTTTTAATCAATCATATGAGTACAGACCGCTTTGGATTCTACTCGATCCTATTACCATGCTAAACTGCAATAAAAATATCGTAGTGTTATACAGTAGCTTATGCATCTCACCCATTTCTCTCATCGAGTACAATGGCCCTGGGCTCATCAAGTTCATCTTTGATCAACAGTTTCCTTCCAGTTCCGTCAAGCCGTCCTACTTCAATCCTATTGGTGCCTGCATCTGTCCAATAAATGTTTCTTCCCACGTAGTCAATGGCTAAGCCGTCTGGTGATTGAACATTGCAGGTAAACAAAATCTTCACTGTAGTGGTATCGCAAAACGCGCTAATGATTCGACCTAGAGCAACGTCTGACCAGTACACTCGATCTTCGACAGGATCATAGTCCACTGCAATTGGGTGCTGAATTCCAATATGCTTGAACAAAGTTATAGGGGCGAATGAGTTGGAGTCCAATGGAACAAATTTGGTAGATTTGTTGTCAGCGTCGGTAAAAAGAATAAACCTGTCGACACCTGCAGTTAAACATAATTTAATTGAAGAGAACTGAGTCAAGGGAAACATATCATAGGTAAACTAATACCCAGAAACACTGTCATCAAATAAGCGTGTCTCTTTAATTAATTGAGGTACACAAAGAAATACACATTACAGTTCTCGTAATATTGACATCCGGGGAACATCACCAATAAGAACGATACAATTCATGCATAAAACTGAAACGAAAGACAGGACACGTTGGATTGAACTAGTGTAACGAACACGATCAGCCGAGCAATCGGAATGCATAGAACACAGCATGTAATATTTAACACTTAATGACTGGTCCCGAGGGGAACAGAGAATTTTGTTTCCCGAGAATCTCAGTGTTTCCCGAGACGAAGTCGAGAGTAACATTGAGATTCGAGGGAAACAAAATTCATTGTTCCCCAAGGGACAATTCATTAAGTGATTTGTTATATAGCAAAACAAGTGCATCAAACCGGTGGAAAACAGCAAATCACTTTATTGATAAATGACGTGCAACAGCGGTCAACATTTCGCGAATAACAGGGAACTGTTTCCCGTTTGACGTCATAGTTTTCGCAATGTTGCACGCTTATAGCAATTGGCGGGAAACAGTTTCATTGTTAGAGATCATGTGACCATGAACTAACCAATGAATGGGTGCGCTGTGGCGAGAAAAACGCCAGCTATATAAGAAATAGATTTAGCCAAGCCTAAAAGCAGAGCTCCTGACTGCAACAATTGAGAAATATAGAAGCCTCGACCGTGTTCTGTTTTGTTGTAAAGTACGCAGGGAGCGGTAGAGCACGAAAGAAGTGTAGGGAAAACACGAGACGTAGTCGAGTGTTTTTCACTACTTCTAATTAAGTCCTCTACCGCTTCCTAAGTGCTTTACGACAGAACAGAGCACAGTCGAGGCTTCTTTATTTGTTTAATGATAAAGAATCCAATAATTTCCCTACGAATTTTGCTGAATTTACTTTGATTGGCTAACGAGACGACAGCTAGACTTTAGCTAAAGGCCGCTGCACACATGCCGATTTTTTGTCGTAGAACTGGAAATTTTTTGTCAGGGTGAGATTGGGTTAAAATTTGTCGGGCCATCAGCTTGCCACATACTAACCGATTTTTTGTCGCGACTAACCGCGTTGAGGCTTGGGGCCGAGTCATCCAAAATCAAGATAGCGCCTATTCCACTGACGTGACTCTCATGACATTTCCTGAATTCGGCTAATGTGCGGCGGCCTTAAGCTTTCAGTTTCTAGTGGCTTTCGAGGGAAGAACGATGCCTTCAAAGTTCGCTTTTTAGCTTAATTCTTAAATAACGATCTAAACGTTTCTAGTCCAGAGTAATCCGGCCGCATTGTGGCACCAACATGGCGTCTCCATACAAAACTCTATAAATCTTAGTAAGGTTGTTTACATATCAATCATCAGTATCATATACCAAATTCTTGACTTAGTTCACTTGAATGGATAAGGTTTTTATTTTTGATGGTTTGACAGTGCAAACCAACAATATTTATGATATTTTCCCGGGGGGGGGGGGGGGGGGGGGGCTCCCATATGGAGTGGACGGGGATGCTCGTCGGAAATTAGCTGATGTGACTTTAGTATCCGGGTATAAGAATTTGGTCACAATTACGTACATTGTTTTCTTTTCGTTTAATTTCTTTTCACTAATTTTGTGTTCAGGAAAAGACGCATGTAGTTTAAGTGTTTTTTTTTTAAACCTTTATTTCAATAAGCCACGTTCGATGGTCGAATCAATTTCCTAATATCGTTCCGAAGCTTTTAGGACAACCTTCTATATCTGATGGTGTTTCTTTGCATCCAAGTCACTTTTGGGAATTGAGAGACAAACGAAATTTACAAAAAAAGAAAGAAATCGCAATTTTGTCCCGAANTACTTCCAGAAAAGTTGAGTGGGGGTGTGCGACCCTCTTCCCAAAACCCCTACCCTATTTATGACCAAACTCTGCGATTTTTTGCTACCCTATTTATTACCTGGCCGAAAACTCGATACTCTATTTATGACCGTTGCGGCTGGCACAGTTGCCCTAAATACAAGTTATGAAGGGCTTTTGTTGATGGTCTTGTTGATAACGATGAACAAGAGAAAATGAGAGAACACATCCCCGTGCCCTATGATAATCTTTTCACGCGGATGCGAAGCAATCCGCGTTACAAATTGGGTCGCTTTGATTTTTTGTTCGTTTGTTTTGTTGTTGTTGTTGTTGTTGTTTTCTTCTTCATGGTAGTCGCAAATTGTAACGCAAGTCGTTATTGCCGGTTTTCACATGACGTCACTAAAATTCAAACTACAAAACTATTGATCTTCATGAGATTTTACTTAAATGATGTATAAGAGCAGCTGAAAGCTAATATTCATAGAAATTTTTGCTCCGAATGGGTTCTTGGTTTTGTGATAGACTACGCTTGAATTTCTAAACTTTGGCGTGACGCGGCATTTACATGACGGCGGAGAGAGCTGTCGTGTTGGTTAAAAAAGTGACTTACTGCGAGGAATTTGGCTATCTGAACAATTCTTGTATCAAAAAAAGTATTATTTTAATGTTTTTGAGTTCCTCGAGGGATAAATGCACGCTTTTGTAGCAAAACTCAGTGACAGATG